GTCGTGTGGAAATGAGCCATATCGCGACAACCTGGATTTGTCCGGGTTGCACCATCTGGTGACAAGTTGTGTGATGTTATCCATTACACACATTTAGTCTGGTTACCCTAGAATCGATTTCATGGACGCGGGTTCACAAGATGGATATTCTTCAAGAAATCATGGGTTTGCGGAGGGGCGGAAATGCCGGATAAACCCCTGAAATTTAATTCAACTGACAACCATTGAAACCATCCCCACAATCAGATTGGCGATGGGCTCAACGCTGCCGACGGGGCCAAGGAGGTGCACGAACCCGGCAGGTCGAACGACGGTCTAGGACGCCAAGAAGGAACCAACAACCGAGCACACGTTCGAGAGCCACACGTACGCACAGAGTACGTCATCCTTGTCTTCCTCGACAAGATCTCAATGAAGGCGACGACCGACATATACTTCCCCGACCGCGACGCCAAAGGACGCGAGTTGGTTCGAGCGACGATCTCGTCGTGGGGCCAACATGCGTCGCTCGAGCATCACGTTCTTCGCAGCCCATCATGTACCGGCATCCCCGCAACTACCGGCCGCATTGCAAAGTACTGGCGAACGAGGTCGAGGGCCAGATCGTGGCCTGGGTCCTGGAGATGCGTAGCGACGGCGTTCCCGTGACGCACCTCATGGTGCACTTGAAGGCGAAAGAGGTCGCGTCCGACCACGTTTTGTATCTTTCACATAGATTTGCTTTTTGTACGGGAGCGCATTTGCAAAACACAGCGAAACACTTAGCTCGTGCAGTCGAGGTTCTCCGGTTGAGTCCCCTCGGAACTTGATACCGGCCCTGTTTTTGCTCTGCTGATGATCGCGACCCAAAACCACCCATATCACGATTAACTTGATTTCACTATGACCTCACAGTGGTATCGGGAGGAAGGACGCCACATTTTCGTCAAATTCGGATGTCGCACAGCGTCCATGAAATCGATTCTAGGGTACCGGTACAGTGTATAATGCATGTTTCTTCGGTTGCACCAAGATCACGTTGCCGATCGTGCTGCACCGCTCCAGTCCGCCGCCTCAGTCGCAGGCGTCTCTTGAGAACCTCAACAAACTGCGTAGCTTTGCCGCCGACCGCGTCACCCGAAAGGACTTCCTCTCGTCCAGTGCCTCACCCGCGGCCATAAGCGTCGTTGGCGACGACAGA